AGTGTAGATAATCTACTGGGGACATGCAGGAATCCATGGGACAAAAAGGACATGTTTGTCATAAAGCTGAATGCTGCCTTCTCATACTGCCACTCCCTCGGGTGAAGGAGACTGAAACAAAGGCAGCCAATATTTTTGTCTGATTACTTTTTAAAGGAGTGTCTGTCCAACTTGTTGAAGATCTTTTTATCAAAGAAGAAATGATAGTTAATTCCTTTGCAGGGCAAGTCTTTCACTTGCCTAAAGAAAACCATAAAAGGTTGTTGAAACCACGACCTTGCATGCATCTTTTTATATGCCAAACATGCGTAGTCTATTGGAGATCAGAAGTCAAGCTCTCAAGCAATCTACTTCTGAAATGCTTAATGATACAAACAATACAACCTGGTTGCTGCAGTAACAGTAATTCAGGGCTCTTCTATGAGTACATCTACCACTGCAGCTAAAATATAACCGATGAGTAATGTGGCCAGCTTAATGAAGTAGTAGCAACTTGAACAATTGGAATTTCCATTACTTGTTTCCTTCCACCTTAATTTAGCATTGACACTAGTGGTTTTTATTTCATTCACTTAATGGCTATGGACTCCCAAACATGCAGTTGTAGTTTTCCTAAAGTCAGTTCACTGTAATACAACATGGTCTCCTAGCATATGTAGATTGTTTCCGCTAGTGTAACGTCTGTGACGTAGCTGTGGAAAGATGGCTCTGCTCAGGCTCTGAGGTATTTGCTGGAGGTGGCAGCATTCTCCTCTGCTGTAGAGCCCATGGAGCCTGGTACCCATCCAGCTTCCTTACAGCTGTTCCCATCAGTCAGCTGGGGACAGCTTGGGGGGGACCCGGTGAGCTCTGGACAATTCTCTGGTTTGGTATGTGCAGAGAAAATGTCACCCTGATCCTGGAATATGGTTTTTTTTCTTTAAATGTCACTCCTTACACCAGTGACCTCATCTGACTCAGCATAGCTTCTGTCTGAAGGGAGGGAACTATAAGCAAGTCAGATTTTGACATCGCTGGAGAATGGAGGGAAGAAGGCACACCAAGAGAAACAAAATACTGTTATTTGAGCAAACAAAAAATATTTTTGGAACAGTAACAGGCAGTTATGTAAAACAACTAGAACCTAATCTAAACATCACAAGCTTCTGAAAACAAGGGCATTGTCTATTATGTACACACAGTTTATTTCATCCTTGGGTTTCCCAGAAGGTTTTGCTGAGATGTGTGCTGGTAGGCATGATGGCACTATACCTGCTGCACCAGTCCAATTCCTGGGTTTACTCCGGATGTTTGACACAGTGAGAACACCCATGTCTCTCAACTTTGAAAACAGGCAGGGTTGAAATAGTCATCTGAGTGGATCACCAGTTTTCTTATTTAAAGGCTGCTTGTATTAAAAATCTGCAGAAGACGAGTGAGACCTGTGCTGAGTGCCTCCAGCAAATGAAGCTGTGACTACAGTGTGAGCTGCTTTACCATTTGTACTTCATTATTAGACACAGAGCTTTCTCCATGCAGGCAAAGGGGAAACAAATGGAGGAAGGAAAGGACTTAGGCCCAGAGAAAGAAAACCATTGGAATATTTTTACTCCAAAATGCACCTGGAGGCACGTGAAAAAGCCGTGGTCCTGTTGTGTTGAAGGGGAATGTTGGCCAGGACACTGGCATATCCCCTGCGCTTTCTTTTTAAAAGTGCCAAGCTATGCTGAACATTCATATTGACACAGACAGAAACCAAAGGAGTAGGAACAAGTGACCTCAGTTTAACATTTCATTCAAATGACAGTGCCTCTAATGAGATTACCACTTTAGTTTCCTAGCACACCACCTAGCCTGAAGGATCTCACAGACCCTTTGAGATGTTCTAAACTGATAAGCAAATGGCATGTTAAATGTATGATAGGAGCACATAGTGTTTGATTAAACAGCATTTCTGTTCCTTAATACTTAACTCTATTCAGCTTGCTGTGCAGTTTTATTCTGTTTGGGGTTTTGCTTCCCCCCCCCCTCTTTTTTTTTTTTTCCATATGCAATCATTTTCTTGAGCTGCACCCCATCAAATAACTGAAGGTTTAGATATAGGAAGGTAAGGTGCATACACTTTTTCCATGATACTGTCTTTACTAGTGAAACCGTGACTTACTATGTTTATCTTCTGTCTTTACTCCATTTTGAATCCTTGAAATGGAGCTAAGAAAGGGCACTCAAAAACTTTCCTAGGAAAAGGAAAGGAATAGTGCAATGAGAATTCACCTTCAATCTTGTGTGTGTGCATGTGACCTTTAAACAAATAAATTCAGTACCAGTGTTTAGAAAGAGACTTACTGGATAAACTGCCAGGCCTGAAAACTCTGACATATGAAGTGCAACAAGTCAGTTTTGTCTCCCCTCAAAGTCATCATCCAAACATCACTGGTTCTGGACTCATATAGGGTAGGTTACCAATGCTGTTAATGTAGATTTGCCGTAGAGGTATTTGTGAGACATCAGAAATCAGTTTTGTTTTCAAGCTGTGTCTTGCTATTTGCTTTGGTTTGGGCCAGTTCTGCTGGCTTAGTGCAGATTTCACTCAAATCTGTGTGAATTGCTGTGGTTTAATTTGAACCTCTGAATAAAAAATATGGTTACGTGGTTTAGTCTAGTGTCTATGTGGAGCTTAATTATTCCCTTGTACAAACAGCTTTTCTGCCACTGTGAATACTAAACAAACACTTATATTGCCTCATGATTTTGAAAATTATTGACCATCTTCTTGGATAAACACTGAGGCCCTGGTAGTATTTGCTCTCTGCTGTTTCACCATCAGTTTTTCTATCACATTTTAAGGTAGGTGTATGGGCAGAGTGATCTATTATCAATGTTCAGACTGAGCTACCTCACTCTAGTGCATTATGTGGTTTTGGTTGACTTTTTGATTATCAGAGTAGAACTGATGCTTTTTTTTTTTTCCCCCACCTTAATGTAATGGGAATTTCTTTGTAACTGGAGGGTAAAGGCAGGGTTGCTTTGGAGATACAGTAGAGTGGTTCTGGAAGTCCTGCACATATTAATGACTCAAAAGGAGTGAATGTTATTTAATGTTTATAGCTTTATCCTGAGAGCAGAAGCTTTTTGCTTATATCTGCCAACAGCTTCTCCCCTTCCCTCTTGTTCTCTGTATTTTAGCTATTCCCAATCTAAGGCAGAAATGCTATCCAGCATTACTGAACAAGGGTTATAAAGTTTTTATGGAAAACCTAACAACTTGAATATAAACTATGAAAAATCAAGGAATGCATTAAGGAAGCAGTTAGCTGGCTGTATTTTTAGCTTTCTACTTAAGTGTCATGCCTTTAGAAGGCTTGTATTGAAACAATGAGACAGGTATGTAGTGAAACTATTCTTTTGCCATGGAAATTAAATGCTGATTAGAAATAACCCATAACACCTTTATCTGCATTGAAAGAGAATACATTTTAATTTTCCCTTGAGAAAGCAAGGACTGTGGAACCAAGAGCCAAACGTGAAGTTGTGGGGTTTTATGTGATGCCAAATGCATCTAGAATATACTTTTTCAGTTTAACAAACCAGTGCAGAAGGTAAATATTCTTTTTGGTGCCTTTACTGCTACATTTGGAAAGATCTATGTAAAAAGAACTTGTTTGTAGTACATTATATATCACGGTGCAATAAACATATGTTCTGAAGCAGAAGTTATAAATGGCTATGTAGTTGTTAACAGGTTAGTAAAGAGATTTGGGTGTTTGAGATTTTAGCATGGGATTTTGTTTGCTTGTTTTATTACAAAAAATGTTTTGCCCATAAAGTAACTGAGCATGAAGAGGGGCTTGAGAAGCCTAGAAAGATCTGTCCATTTCCCTGGGGACTATATTAGACCTCTGAGTCATGAAGTCTTTGCATAGTAGGTGTCTGGTTACAAACCTTTTATGGGTCCTACTCAGCTGGGATATCAGCATCTGCGTTATAGCTCCCATCTATTCTTAGGTGATATCCCAGCACGACTGAACAGGCAAGGCAGAAAGAGAATTGCTTTCAGTATATAGAACTCTTCCCTTTTGTCATTCTGCTTTTTCATGCTTTCTCTGTCTACCCCATCCTTCTGTCTGCAGTGTCTTGTTTCCTTGTGAAAGAGGTACAAAATGGCTTACAGCGTGACTCTGAATGGACCTGGACCGTGGGGTTTCCGACTGCAAGGGGGCAAGGACTTCAACATGCCCTTGACCATCTCCAGAGTAAGTGAGAAAAAAAACCCCAAACCAACCAAACTTCATTGAGCTTGTATAGGGTGGGAAATAGCAGTAAACTAATTGTATTTACACTCTGACCTGGCCTAGCAAAGTAGAAGGTCTTTGCAGCTAGATCTGAATAAAGATAATATAATGTTGACTTTATGCCCATTCAAGGCACAACCTGGCATTGATGATGCCTCAGGAAGACAGTTCTGGTTAGTATATTTTTAAGAATGATGATACTGTTTCTTTTAAAAAAGATTCCAGTTCTATTTTTTACAGTGTTGTCTCTTTTTCTGCTGATAGGGGCCTCAGTGGTGCTGTTTATTTAGGGGGAAGGGAGTAGAACAACTATGAATGGGAATATAAAATTATATTTCTAGAAAATAAACATGTAACTGCTTGTAAATATGTGAAATCTAGGTGTTCAAACTGGATGAAAAACTGGACAAAGATAAGGATAAATGTTCCTTCTTTTGGGTGGGAGCAATAATTGGATGAAAATTAAACATGTCAAGCAGAAGATTCAATAGTACTTAAAATACAGTCTTAAATTATGCAGAAGCCTTCCATTTGCAGCTGACAAACAGGATATGATTTAATAGTTAATTACCTTGGTGTATCTGTCAATTACAGATTAGTTCATTTATTTCCTAATTGTCTCTCTTTTTTTTTTTTCTCCTAAGAGCAATATTTTAAGGTGTTGCAGTGGAGTGCTCTTATTACCCAAATTATCTCAGTTTCTTAAAAGTTTTTAACATTGAATGGTTATCAGGAAATTTGTAAGCGTTTCCCTTACCCTTCTCTTATCCAACTAGATAGTTTTGTGTAACTTCTGTTTTGGGAACTCTGCTTTCTACTACTTCTTACAGCTCCCTCCTCATTTTTTTCCTTTGTTTTTTTTTTTTGACAGTCTCAAATCTGTTGCAGAATGTTCAGATCTTTTTAGAGACATCTTGGTTCCTCCACAAATCACCTGCAGAAGTCTTATTTTGCAGTGCAATGACAAGAGAGGTTACTTACATAACAGTGTTTAAAAGGAATACCAGAATGATTTAATCAGGTAAACAAATAGAATGCAAACAAAAGGTCTGCTCCACTGCAAAAAAGCCACCTACGCTACTTTGAAAATTTTTTTTTTTTTGCATAATAGAAAAAATACAGTCTGTTAAGTTGTGGGTACCAAATTGATATCCCTGCAACAATCATGATTCAAAGTTATCAGTGAGCTTCTGAAATCTTAACTACCCTACTTCATATTCGTACCACAAAGCTCTGGCTTATTTGATCTCCCTTATTCTTATGCACAATATTCCTTTCTCTGTAGATAGAGCTGTATTTACCTTAGTACTAAGTCCTATGATGATGAGACGATCTTTTCATAACACCTTTTGCCAGGAGTGCATAGTGATTGCAAAGAAGGCTGTTCTGTCAGTGTTACTAAAAACAAACAAAAAACAACAAAAATAAACTCACTTCATAAACTTGCACTAATTTCACTATGGTAAATAGTTTTGATATTTCTTTTCTTATGCTATCCAAGGTAAGTACAGAAAGGTGCCAACATATTTCTGTAGGCATTTCATGACACTTTGAAGCCTGTGCTGTATGGTGTTGATTTTTTTTTGGGGGGGGGGGGGTGTAAGTAATTCAGTCATGCCTAGAGGTTGTCAGCCCCAAGAGCTGGGGCTATGGCACTTGCACTGTATATGACACAATCAGAAATTAAAAACCAGTTGTTTCCCAAATAACCCATTGTCTCAGATTATAATCTCGTAAAGTATACTTACTGTGCCCAAAGGCTATATGATTCTCATGAGGCTTTTGAGAGCATATGATAAATGGGCATGAAACTGCAATGGCTGGATTCCCAGAGGTGTGGAGGAACTACCTCTTCACACAGCTGGCTGCATTTCCAGCACTAGAAGTGTCAGAAAGCACTGTTAAATGTTTTGAACTCTTCCCCAGTGAGGTCAAATTTTTAGTTGGGAGCATTGCTTTGGGATGGGATGGGATTTTATAGCCTGCCTTAGGTGGGAAAAGCAGGCATGCAGAAATGAACGTAGGCCTTTTTCAGGGAGGGCTGGAGTAGGAATGCCTGCTGGTTGTAATTTTTTTTTTTAATTGGAACACAGTATAATACATGGCTTTTGATGATAATATATTTATGTGAAAGATGCTAAAGAAAAAATAGACTTTAAGAGTATCTCTAAACAAATCAGATATTCCCCTTAATCAGCGATCTGCAGTCATAAGGAAGGTGAGCTGTGAACTCAGCCATAATTGCAATGTTACCATGGGGGGAAGAGGAAAGCTGTATTGTATTCTCAAGATATTCTTGGCAGGTGGGTGGAAGGGGAGATAACTGTAAGGAAAATCCCCTTCTTGGGAAGGGCACACAGTTCTAAATGTTGCCAGTGGATGTTGTACACTTATCTAAGGACCGTGTTTGATCCACAGCTGCCCTGAGATGGGATTAGACTTTCTATGTGCAAGATGAGTCCTAAACACCAAACATTTCAACTTAAAGGGTCTTATAATTGCTTTTAATACTAGATGTGCCGTGGTCCTTTTTCCTGCTTATGCGTAGTATCCCTCTGTGCAGGCAGATAGGGTTTACGTGTGGACACACTCATTATACTATCGCCAATCAATAAGGCTGTCTGTGGGTGGGCCACAGAGAACAAAGATTCATCATTTTTCATGGAGGCTCTGTGTTCTTCTGTCATGCCCCAAGTCATGTGGTGAGAGAGTTGCCTCTGAGCTCCTGAGAAAGATGACGGCAACAGTCTACCACAGTGGGATTGTTCATCCCATCTATAGTCTTGTACCTGCATGTTTCCAAGGACCTTCCTGAAAGGGGAAGCTAGTATGGTGCCAGTATGAAGCTAGCCCACACTCAGACATGAAGTGGGCACCCTGGACTTAGGAACTAGGGCTGTGGCTTAGCTGTCTGTTGACCTGCACTCTGTCAGCCAGCCCCGTACAATTCCCACTCAGCTTGCACTTCTCCACCTGAGAAGCAGGATAGAAAACCTGAAGGTCTTTGAAGCCTCCTGACAAAAGCACAATACAAGATTGTGGCATTGCTAATGCTTTTGTTCAGGAAAATACATTTAAAACAGTGGGCAAAGAAGGGAATTACTCAGAGCTGTTTTATACAACAGTTCTATTTCAAAAGGCTCTTTAAAATGCTGTCTGAGACACTCTATTTTCTTTCCTTCAGGTAGGTCCAGGTGATCAGCTCACTGCTGAATAGTCCACAGCATAAGACACAGGAGTCAGTTAGCTAGGTGACAGGTGAAGATGTGTTCCACTGAAATGGGTTGTTCTGCTTATCTGTTCTTTATCTAAAAATAAGTGCCTGACTAACGTAGAGGGGTAGGGACAGGAAAAGAGGAGACAAAAACAAGTGGAGAAAAGGTAAGGTCGCTCTGCAGCTTTCACACTCTTTTAGCAATGGCATTAGAAAATAATCTGGGAAGATTTAAAAAATATTTTTGCAGTCCCCACCCTGCAGACCATCCTACCCTCTAGAACAAATTCATAAGCAGGTAGCAGAGATAGAAAAACAGTATTGACAGACTCTTAGTAAAGCTCAGCATCTGTCAGGTCTACTGAAATGAATGCGACTTGCAGGTTGTTGGCAATGCTAAGAGCTGTCACCAGCGGAGTGATCATATGCATAAATCTGGTCTTTCCAAACTGACGTGGGCAGCAAAGCAGGTTATTTTCTTCTGCTGCTCGCATGAACTGTCTGGAAGCAAGCAGAATTCATTAATTTTATAGACCTAATCCTCTGTAAGAAGGCTTTTAGGCATAGTTAATTATCTAAGTGCTGTGTTGCCATGTTACCTAAGATGGTACGATTGTACATGGATGAATGCAATAGCAGAGCTCCTTCATATATTTGTGAATGATTATTGCTGAACGGCAAGCTTTTCTAGTGAGACAGACTGGTTTGTAGATAATGCAATGAGCTGAAAGGTATGCAAAAATTGTCGTTGTCTGAGATAGCAGAAATATTATCCAGAACAGTGTAGTAAGTCATGAGTGGTATATTCACTCTGTGGTTATCCATACAGTTTTGTATTTCCTAATAGAAGGGGTTTTTAATGTTTCTTGGGTTCAAAATCAAAAACCACATCCTGAAGCAGACAGTGTTTAAAACAAAAGTGTTTTGGCTTTATTCTATTAGGTGAGGAAGAAGTTGAAATCTGGTGATGACATAAGCGCAGTGAGGGGAAATGGCAAACACTAATAGGAAAAAAATAAAATTAGCTGATCTATATACTTATTTTGATACAAGCAGCCTGAAACAGCTCTTTGGGGTGATGGTGGGGAAGCCCTTATTCTTGCATTTTGCAGTCCATGTCTCTGGAGGAGCAGGAAGGCTTTTCTCACATTTGTTGGGCTCTTTCCTTTTACCAGCATCTTTTCCTGATTACTTTCTGTCCCTCCTTGACTCCTGAGCATACATATGTCAACCTTTTGCTATGACTGTGCTTCCTTTAGAGGAGCTATTGTGAGAGTATTCATTTCGTGTTGGCCTTATTGCAAATGGGATATCAGTGACTTACAACAGTCAAGTGATGGGCGAAGGGAGTCCCTCTTGGCTTTTTTTTTTGTCATCCATTCTTGAAGGCAGGGAAACTCAGATTATCTGGGTTAAGCACTATGCATGCTGCAACTGTCATTTGGATGGCCACGTGGTGCTGTACAGAAATTGCAATAAGAGTGAAGTGTACCTTGATTGACTGAACTGAGGAAATTTAACAAGTTCCCTTGAAGTGCTGATTCGACATCACCTGTTAAGCATCCATCTCTGATGAACTGAACTGCTGAGTAGTTGTTCTATAGCTACAACTTCGAGAGGTTTTCTTTCATCTCCAAGTGTGAAGGCCTTTACAATAATAAAAGCTATAGATTGGTATTTAAAATAGCTGATACTCTACAAAACTAACAGGCAAGTCTCATGTCCTCTAAAAGCCTTCTTTTTAAAC